GAGATATGGAACTAAGTTTGGAACTCTTTCATTTGAATAGATGAACATTGCATTGAGAAATGAATGAACATCTAGGAATCATGATGGTGGATTTAATGCTCTTAAGAGTTTCAATCTATTTAGAATCGAGAGATCGGTAGTTGAACTCTTAGGAAGTGAGGTGAGACTCGAGAGAGTAATCCTCTATAACAAGAACTTGAATTTCCTGAATCATAACTCTAGTTACGAAGATACATCCGTAGAAGCGATCCTTACATAACCCATAATTTCCGACACCTACGATGTTTTATAGAATTGTGCTAAGTCTTTGCTTATATTTGCTTTAATTTGTGTTTACTTTCAGTTATAATCATCACCATCATCATTATCATCTCCGACCGAAACTGAGTAGTAATCGTAATTGTTGTCGTTAAACCACACGTGTCCTTGTGTTCGACCCTAGGTATTACAATCCGTACACTTGCGATGATTGTATCTAGGAATTAAAACAAGATTAGATCACATCCTAGATCGACATCAGGATTCTCAGTAGTTACCTCTGAAAGCATTCCCGGTAAGCATCTGGATGAAAGCGGGCTATAGATTGAGACGAGTATACCCGTTATCCGGTCTACCAATGCAAAAAAGTAATGGAGTGTGCTTTGGAGCAGTGTAGTCTGTAAAAGTAAGCGCTTCATTTCGCTCGACTGTTCTCGGTGGAGCAGCGTTATTCGCAGGATGATAGTCAACATTTATGTTGTCGTACATTACTTCCAATCTCCTTTGTTGCCTTAGGAGTTGAAGTGTTCTTTCGATTTCTGGATTAGGAGGAAGTAGAGTTTGACTTCCATGAGTCCTGGTCATAAACCGAAGGAATCAAAGTTTCGATTCCCGGAAGAGGAGAATTTGATTGTGGTGGAGAGAAACTAGATGGTAGTGGAAAATTAGAATCTAAACCGACACCAAGACTGAATCTCAGTCCCCAGAAACGACACCAAAAACTTATTCGTGCCAATCTAGGTGAATGGATGGTCAAGTGATAAATACCTAGACTAAACCGATTCTGCAAGAATACAGATTCGATGTAGTACCAAGGTCAAACACAGGGACCGAGAGGTGATGATGTCGATAGTGATCCTTGCAAAGGTGGACAGCAGATTGATTGGTTGGTCGGTTGGAAAAACTATAACTAAAGACACTGTAGGTTTGGGGTTTCACCGATACTATGGATGATCTCTAAAGACCTAGATTGAATTGCAGTTTTGATAGATGCGGAAAACTCTCGCTCCTAAAATAGAACGCGTTCGGGTTAGGGATCATCGCTCTTTAACTAACGCTTTCCTATCATCTTCCGCATCTTTAGGTCTACATTAGAAACATTAATGTCCGCTATAATTGTTCCTAGGTCAATTAAGAATTCCTTATCAAGCCTCACTTATGCGTTCATAATCTATCTTATGAACGAATTCCGGTATTAATTAATCCAAATTCCTTTGCAATTAACTAACCTAAGTTCAATTCTATAGGATGATCAATCCTAAGAAAGCATTATGTTCAATTCATACAACCGGATCCAAACAAAACATGTAATAATCATATTAAGAACATGAATCAATCCGTAACATGGCTAGGATCTGTAATACCCCGAAGCCCGATTCGAATATTTAATTATGTAGAAATGAATAATTAAATAGAAATGTCACGAAATCACCAAAAGTGAACAGTACAATGTCGGGGAGAGGTACGAGGATCGTCACGTCGCGGAAAGAATCAAAAGAAGGAACGAAGAAAACGAAAAAAATAAAAATAAAAAGGAGTTGGTCCGCCGGACCAGGAATGGTCCGCGGCAGACCAACTACTTCGTCGGACTAAGAAGTAGACAGCGCGGACTAGAGGAAGTTTTCGAAAAAAAATATAAGGCTCCGGTCCGGCGGACCAGCCAGTTGGTCCGGCGGACCGGGACTCGACAGCAAACGCAAGTTGTCAACTTGCGGTCTTGGGAAGCAAACTTTGCCAGATTTCGGGATCGAAGCCTCGAGGATGTTGCAGGCTCGCCTATGGGCCTAGACTCGAGCCCATTCGACCCCTCTCGCACGCCATAAACTCTCCTCAATCCTCTGCCTTAGCCATTCTCGGGCAAAACAGAGGAAGAAGAGAAACAGCGAGAAAGGGAGGGAGAGAAGGCGAACCAGAGAGAAAGGAGCTCGGGGAGACCAAGAGGGACGTGTCCAGACGTGTCCCGAAGCTTCTCACGTCGTGTGGAGCCACGAGGAACGCACACAAGCTCGGACAAACTCAAGAACAAGGTGAGTGGCTTGAGTTGGATTTGTGAGATCTCATTTTCAATGTGTAATGGTGCAAGTCGAGATTTCTTTGCGTGTTTGAGGCTTAGAACTTGTCTAGGGATGTTAAACTGTGTTTTAGTAGCATTTGGATGCAACCCTAGAGTGAAACGGACGAGAAAAATCGAAACAGAATCGGAGGAATCGCGAGAGAGAAGAAGATCCCAGTCCCGGTCCGCCGGACCACGAGTGGTCAGCTCCGGACCGAGACTGGGACAAGGCACGTGAGCTCAAACGGACCAAGAAAACGGACCGGACCAAGAGAAAACACTACCTGGTCCGCCGGACCAGACGTGTTCCGAGATTTTCGCGCACTGACTGACCGAGAAGAAACGGACCAGAGGAAAAAGAGTAGTCTGGTCCGGGGCTGACCAGTTCTGGTCCGCCGGACCAGACGCACTCCGAGAAGTATTACATCGCCTGACCAAGGAACTGGACCGAGAGAGAGAAAGAACAAGCTGGTCCGGGGCTGACCAATCCCGGGCCGCCGGACCAGGCTTGTTTTCTCTCTCGGATCGACGGACTAAGAGACGGAGCGGACCAGGGAAGAAAGAGAACTAGTTCGGCTGACCAGAACTTGGTCCGCCGGACCAGGCTCAGAGAGAAATTGGAAGGCTTCACTTTCGACCGGGGAAAAAGGGAACGGCCAACGGGGTTGGTCCAGGCCTGACCAGACTTGACCGTGGGCGAACCAACCCCCCACCAAAGGACAAAGCTTCGCGATGGGATCAATCGAACCGAGTTTTCACCAGAACGTTGCATAGCGTAGTGAGTTATGCGATAATAAAAATACGAGTGACCGTTGCGTGATTGTTGTGGGTAGAATTGCATGGTGTTGAACGGTAGCTCGGTAGGGATCGGATGCAGTGATACGCGTGATTGTACTATGGGGAATTGCACATTGTGTGCCATGTGTGTAGCTTGCTCGTGTGTACGAGTTAAGCGTGATTGTGGTTGTGGATGGTTGTGGACTCAACCATCACCGTCATGGACTTGACGGGTGTTGAGTGTGTTCTAGTCGTGTGCGACACGACGGCCAACGTCACGCAAGTGACGGGCGTGGACTCACCCCTAGTCATGGATTTGACTAGGGTATATGGTTAAGCCCGATGGTGGACTCCATACGGGCGTGATTGTGATTGTCGTTTACATGTTTATTGTATTTTGTTTATTGCATGTGTTTTATAGAAATGTCGACTGTACCGTTCTCAGTGGGAACGGGATTTCATGGTTCAATCCGGGCTTCTCACTAAGCAGTTGTGTTTAGCCCTCGTGGTTTATATTTTTCAGATCACGAGGATTACGCCTAGCGCACCGGACGACGACGACTTGAAAGAAGCAGCATCATGTACGGGATTTGAATTCTAGATTATGGGACTTGTATTCCAGCATTTTGTACGGTTATATTAAGACTAATCGGACATGTGTTATTTTGCGAATGATCGCGTTATATTTCCCGCTACTTACTTTGATTTGAATTAAAATGTTTTTGAATTTCGTATTTTCGCTTCCGCAATTTATTATTTTATTATGTATCGTCCATGTGGCACAGCCCTTTTACTGTATACGGGTTACAGGTTTCACAGGACCCCTAGCCTACAACAAGTAAACTATTCACGATCAATGGGAGAGAATGAAACTATAATGGATTCATACAACATTTCAAGAGACATAGAGAAAAGAGACTTATAGAATGTAGAATCAATCTTTAAATTCCGAAATATAGCAATCCTCTAGCTTCAAAAGCTTCCAAAACATCGCAGGAATGAAGAATAGTCGGAAAGTGTCATGAAACGTGAAGTGCGCGAACCCTCCTCTCTGATCCGTACGATTGTTTTTATAGAAATCTCAAAATATCGATGTTGGGAACATCGATATCGATGTTGTCCAACATTGATATTCTTCTAAAGTGTGGAGATCTCAATGTCTAAGAACATCGATATCGAAGTTGTGGAAGGTCGATATTTGGACTGCTTAGATCTCAGATACGCGAACATCGATTCGATGTTGTGGAACATCTAGATTAGAAAATCTGAAAGTCTGATCTCGAGATGGGTGGAAACGTCGATATCGATGTTGGGGAACATCGATATCGACGTTCTCAACATCGAGATTCTTCCTGCTCCGCTTCGAAGTCTGTTTCTCGCCCTGACAAGTCTGTGACCTTCCTTAGCTTGTCGCGATCGTCCACTTAATCCAATTAAGCTCCGAAAATACCTTTTTTGCTCCGTTTTTCGTCCAATTACGCAAATATTCCAGATTTTACACCAAAGAGGAAAGAAAACAGTATTTGTTTACAAAATGCAACTTAAATGCTAGATTTGTACGGAAAAGAAAGGTGAAATGCAACTAAAACAATAAAAAAAAATTAACGTCAAAAACCGATGTCATCACATATGTAGTACATATATATATATATATATATCACATATATATAGAGAGATATATGTACATGTACATATTATATTACATATTACACATATATCATATATAAATATAGATATATATACATATGTATATATATATATATATTTAGGCATATGTATAATATTTTATATACATACATATTATATATATATATTATGTATTCAAATGTCACACATATATATATATATTACACTATATAGACACGATGGTGCTATCGTGTACATGATAGTTTCATCGTTGTTGTTGTTGTTGTTTTTTTTTTTGCAGATCGATTCCGCAGTTATATGTTTTCGTCTGAATCTCTTGAAAATATTTCGGTGAAGCTCGTTTTCCGTTCTTTCCTAAAAAAATATAAAAACATCGAAATCGGAGTAAAATTATACAAAATAAAGCTTATAAACATATAAATCTCGTGAAATAAAATATATATTATATACAAAAATGTTGGGTTTCCTGGGATCTCATGAGCGAATCTAATTCCTAAGAGATCGATTCTAGGGTTTGCGCAGCGGATGTAAAACAAAAATTTAATAAACCCTAGAACCATGCTTCTAATGAATCGTAGAAACGTTAGAACGCTTACCTCAATCGATCCGGGGCCTGTATCAATCGAAGAACACGTCTGATCACGAAAGGCAGGAAATTACCTCGCCCTCTACACGTATCCACACGTCGGGATGGATTCCAACACCTTGGAACTTGTCTGTTAGGACTAGAGATCTCGATCTCTCTTGTGTGAAAGGTTTTTGGAGGCTTAGGGTTTTATTTTTCTTCTCTTTTTTTTCTTCTCCTTTTTCTTCTCTTTTTTTTCTTCTCATTTTTCTTCTTTTTTTTTTCTAAAACCCTAGAAGACATTCTCCTTATATAGACTTTCCAAAATCCTAATTTGACAAGGAATAGATTACTAGGAATCCTAATCTAATTAGGTTTCCTAAACCTATTAGAATTCTAATCTCATTAGGTTTCCTAGATGTAATAGAATTCTAATCTCATTAGGATTCCTATACATAATAGGATTCCTAATCCCATTAGGATTCCTATTCCAATTAGGAATCTCAATCCAATTAGGATTCCTAATCGGGATAATTTAGCACAAGTACTTGTCCATCCCTATTGTGTGTGACCCTGTAGGCTCATCCGGAATAGCAGTAAAACACAGAATCTCCATTCCGGGAATACAAGTCATAGGCGGTCTCTAGCAAGACACTATAACTACCTATCTCGAATAAAGTTTGTTTGTGATCATACTAAAGCCAGTGATGATTCCGACTAATGATCCTTTTGTATCGCGATATCATATGTCGAACATAAGGCATGGACAAGCCACCTTATCTGATTCGACTGCTTTCTCGTTCACTGAGTTCGACTGTCTGAAATAGACGACGTTCGTCTATAGTGCGGCCACACATTTCTACAGTCTTGCTCACACGAGGGGCCCAGAAAAATCTCTCTCTTTTACGAGAGGTACAAATCCCGTCTTGACTATCTACAATCCAGTACATGATTCGTTTCGTACCTGATACACGCCTTTATAGTCCTCCTGTTACGCAGGACGTTTGACGTAATCAAAGCCGCAACTCCTCATGTTGGATTCTGTAGATATCTCAGGTCTTAGGATCCAATCATGGAATCGTCGTATGAGATTCAAGTCATGACGCTAGTCCATGTGACAATCTCATGCGGGTCAGTCCAGTATTCCGTTCTGCAACGAATACCTATGATTGTGATCGTATCCAATACCTATGATCATCTATGAATGATACTAAACTCCCTAGTCTTATGTCATTATGGGAATAACGACATAATAAGACTAGTATGATGTGTGATTGATGATCACATAGATGATCATAGGTATTGGATACGATCAC